CTGCACTTCTGCTAATGACTCTGACTGGTGCCAGGTAGCCCCACAGTGTACTAGAATCAAAATCAGATACACTAAAGTTTTATTTTAATATTTAAAAATGACTTCTTTGACGATTTGTTTAAAATGATCTTCAAATTGTTGTAGCTGGTTTTCATAATTTACTGAAATTGTGAATTTTGTTTGAAACTTTGCAGGTGCTGCAGTTTCTTGCACTACCCAGTGTGACATCGTACCACACATGCTGTAACAACTTGCACAATAATGGGCAAATTGTCACAAGTGCATGCTTGTTATTTAACTCCCTATAATGCTTTTCTGACGTAGGGTATGAAAATGCAATGATAAGAAAATGTATGTATTGTGACTAAAAGGACTGTGATCTGAACTTTTAGCCCGATCACCGACCTTTAGCCTGAACCTTGGCTGAATTTTTGCACTCTAGTCAAATAGAGCAAGGAGGCAAGACAGTGTTAGCACCTGTTTATCAGTGAATCTCTGAGAAGCTGTTGGTGTCCAGGCTTGTTGTTCTCTCTCTGTCAGACCTGCTCAGATGGACTGAACTGTGTGGAGATCCACTGCCCTCTGCTGGGTCTCGACAGCCCTGCAGTGATGTTTTTATACTCATACCTGTGGAACACCACTTTGACACTGTTGTGGATGTTACTCTCCATTTAACAAACTCTCCAGAGAATACTGGAATCAAACTTAAGAATCCTAGGACAAAGGTAAAACCTTAAAGATTTCCTTGAGCAAACCTTTATTATATTATACATGTTATTTATCTTTTGGGCTTAATGTTTGCAATTTGTTGGGTAATATTAAGCCCCTTCAGTTTTATGTAACTAACAGGAATAAAAAAGATCCTGAAATTCTGCGATTCATAAACAGAAATCTTTGTATTTGTCCTGGTAATTTAGACTTTGTACATTAATTGTCTGTTAATGTAACTCTAAACTCACTTCTATGATACAGTTGTCCACAGGTAAAACTGACAGTGTTTCTTAAGACAAAGTGCTTCACCAAAATAGCCTGGTGGATAATCTTCCTAACAGTCATTGCATTGCTGCTACTGTTGCTGTTGCTGGTTTTGGGCTTCTTGTTGTGGAAGGTAACAAATTAAATTAATCTGTAATAGTCTTTGTTCTGTTTTTTGTGAAAACTGGTAAACAGTTTTGCACAAATAACAGATAAAATATTAATGCTATTTCACTTGTGTGAATATCAAAACTGTCATTTGTCTGTTTAGATGATTTATTCATGGCTTTCTGATTTCTGCATTCACAGTAAATCTTTGCAAAGTATTACAAAGTACTAAATAAAAGTAACAAATAAGTGATATGTTTGAAATGATCACACTTGTGTGGTGAGAGTACTTTGTAATATAAGTACAGATTTTGTATACTATATGTAGTGTACTACATCTACAGTATATATATTGAGTTATTTATGACAATGCACTATAATTTACCTTACTTTATTACTTTACATGGCCACAGCACACAGACTGATTGTCCTTTATTTTCTGTCCCTGTCCCCTCAGCGAGGATGTTTTGCTCATAAGAAGAAGCCCTCATATGAAGATCCAAACACAGAGACTGCTCATCTTAAAGGATGAAAGGAAAACCAAGGACGTCCCGGCGCCTCTGTGGTATGAAACACGTGCCATTAACACATTAAGATGTTAAGGTTTCGGTTCAAGCTAATATACAAACTATCGACTACCAGTGCAAAATGTGATCATTTCCTAACGTGTTTGCTGAAGCTTTTTTTTTTACTGTACTGTACTTTTTCTTTAGAATGTATTGTGCAGTAAATATAGGTACAGTTTAGTTATAGGAACAGTTTAGTGGCAACATGTTGTGGTTTGTGTTGTGTAAAAAAAAAAAAGTTAACAAAAATCTTTTTTTTTTAAAGGAAAACACAACAACATACTGTTCTTTAGCTTTTTAATGAAGCTGAAAATATCACTTGTTTGATACCAAAAAACTGTTACAACAACATGAAAAATGTTGTGCTGTACTTTCACCATGAAGGAATGTGTGAGTAGTTGGAATGGATGAAAGCTCATACTAAAGGACAGTTGATCTGAAATTCAATGGAACTTTTGCAGCCACCAAATCTTAATTTGACTGCCGATCATCGAAGCACATTTTATTACAATACTGTTGCTTTGAAATACTGTGAAACATTTTATTTGTGGATGCGCAACATAATACTGTTTGTGGTGAAGCTGAATATGGTCCCTACTGGTGAGAGTTTCATTCCCAAATGAAATCACACTGATCACTTGTCAGTAAGTAATATCTGAATGATTATTTCTTTTACAGGAGAGTGCCGTTTTAGACAGAGATCATTTTTATCATACTGAGAAATAAATGATGTACTTTGCTGATTACAAAGTGGATTTCACAACTTCTCCTTCAGCATGTGTACATTCATTTTATATTCTCCACCTGCGTCTTTGTTCTCTTGATGGATCATATCAATGAACTTTCTTCAAACAAACAGACATTGAGAAATATGCTAATTTGCTTTCTATGCAACAGTTAGAATTGGAACTAGCAGCCTGTTAGCTTAGCATAAAGCCAAGATGGGGGAACGGCTAATCTGGCTCTGTACAAAGGTAACAGAATCTTCCTACCAGCACCTCTAAAGCTCACTATTTCATTTGTTTAATATGTGTAAAATTTGTAAACACAGCAGTTCATCATTCCTTCAGTTTTATGTAACTAACAGGAATAAAAAAGATACTGAAATTCTGCGATTCATAAACAGAAATCTTTGTATTTGTCCTGGTAATTTAGACTTTGTACATTAATTGTCTGTTAATGTAACTCTAAACTCACTTCTATGATACAGTTGTCCACAGGTAAAACTGACAGTGTTTCTTAAGACAAAGTGCTTCACCAAAATAGCCTGGTGGATAATCTTCCTAACAGTCATTGCATTGCTGCTACTGTTGCTGTTGCTGGTTTTGGGCTTCTTGTTGTGGAAGGTAACAAATTAAATTAATCTGTAATAGTCTTTGTTCTGTTTTTTGTGAAAACTGGTAAACAGTTTTGCACAAATAACAGATAAAATATTAATGCTATTTCACTTGTGTGAATATCAAAACTGTCATTTGTCTGTTTAGATGATTTATTCATGGCTTTCTGATTTCTGCATTCACAGTAAATCTTTGCAAAGTATTACAAAGTACTAAATAAAAGTAACAAATAAGTGATATGTTTGAAATGATCATATGCTTCGATTAATTTTCAACAATATTTCACAATGTTTGTGAACTTTCAACTTTATATATTTGTTAATAATTTACATCCATTATAAAACATGAAGTATGTTGATGATCTCAGGTTGTGAAAACACTTGTGTGGTGAGAGTACTTTGTAATATAAGTACAGATTTTGTATACTATATGTAGTGTACTATTTATGACAATGCACTATAATTTACCTTACTTTATTACTTTACATGGCCACAGCACAAAGACTCATTGTCCTTTATTTTCTGTCCCTGTCCCCTCAGCGAGGATGTTTTGCTCATAAGAAGAAGCCCTCATATGAAGATCCAAACACAGAGACTGCTCATCTTAAAGGATGAAAGGAAAACCAAGGACGTCCCGGCGCCTCTGTGGTATGAAACACGTGCCATTAACACATTAAGATGTTAAGGTTTCGGTTCAAGCTAATATACAAATTATCGACTACCAGTGCAAAATGTGATTATTTCCTAACATGTTTGCTGAAGCTTTTTTTTTTTTTACTGTACTGTACTTTTTTCTTTAGAATGTATTGTGCAGTAAATATAGGTACAGTTTAGTTATAGGAACAGTTTAGTGGCAACATGTTGTGGTTTGTGTTGTGTAAAAAAAAAAAAGGTTAACAAAAATCTTTTTTTTTTAAAGGAAAACACAACAACATACTGTTCTTTAGCTTTTTAATGAAGCTGAAAATATCACTTGTTTGATACCAAAAAACTGTTACAACAACATGAAAAATGTTGTGCTGTACTTTCACCATGAAGGAATGTGTGAGTAGTTGGAATGGATGAAAGCTCATACTAAAGGACAGTTGATCTGAAATTCAATGGAACTTTTGCAGCCACCAAATCTTAATTTGACTGCCGATCATCGAAGCACATTTTATTACAATACTGTTGCTTTGAAATACTGTGAAACATTTTATTTGTGGATGCGCAACATAATACTGTTTGTGGTGAAGCTGAATATGGTCCCTACTGGTGAGAGTTTCATTCCCAAATGAAATCACACTGATCACTTGTCAGTAAGTAATATCTGAATGATTATTTCTTTTACAGGAGAGTGCCGTTTTAGACAGAGATCATTTTTATCATACTGAGAAATAAATGATGCACTTTGCTGATTACAAAGTGGATTTCACAACTTCTCCTTCAGCATGTGTACATTCATTTTATATTCTCCACCTGCGTCTTTGTTCTCTTGATGGATCATATCAATGAACTTTCTTCAAACAAACAGACATTGAGAAATATGCTAATTTGCTTTCTATGCAACAGTTAGAATTGGAACTAGCAGCCTGTTAGCTTAGCATAAAGCCAAGATGGGGGAACGGCTAATCTGGCTCTGTACAAAGGTAACAGAATCTTCCTACCAGCACCTCTAAAGCTCATTATTTCATTTGTTTAATATGTATAAAATTTGTAAACACAGCAGTTCATCATTACATGCTGGACTAGCTGGCTGCCTGACTATTTCCAGCCAAGAAATAGTCTGACACACAACTCCCTGTTAAAAACACAATTTGTGGTTTTTATACTTCAGTTTTTGTAAGGATTAAACTTTAGAGGTGCTCGTAGGCAATTTTTGTTGCTTTACAACAGAGTCCGTCCGGCTGCTGCTCATTTTCTAGCCTTTACACGCTGCTGGCTGTACTGTAGCTGCATATCAACCATACAGGGACGAGAGGTGTCAGTTTCTTTTGTTTGTTTACTCTGAGAGAGAAAGCTAATAAGCATATTACCATGGTGAACTATTGCTTTAAGCTGAACCTCCTCTTCTCCACTGTACATGGCTGATCAACTTGACTTTATCTTCATCAAAACACATACATGTTTCCGTCAACATTAAGTCAAATTTTACATCATGTCATGAGTTTAATCACTTTTTTCAATATCTTTTTGTTGCTTTTAGGAAGAATCAGTAAAAAAATCACACCATTAAAAAAACATCTCATTATGGAATAAACTTGAACCCAGAACATAAAACAAACAACGTAAAACCACCACATAAACACACTCATTCACACGCACTGCTCCTTAAGAATCCCTGGTAAAGACTAAAAAGACCAGAATAAACTGTAGCTGGTTTTATAACCCACTTATCATATGACAAGTGTTTTGTTGTGGTTAGTTGTGAGAAGTATCAATAAGTAGAGTTTGATTTTCTGCATTCACAGATAGTTAAAGACAAACACTTTCAGAATATAAAAACACGTAACCTTTGCCTTAAACGTATAGTGACAATAAGAGCAATGAAATATATAAATAAATTAAAACCATTACTATATTACATTCGTTAACCTCTCACAAGTAACCAAAAATTCATCTGAGCTTTTAGGTACATTTGTTTGGTCTCAAGATTACTTCTTTTTGAAATGTCCAAGATAAAATACAGATTAATTGAGTAAATTAAATCTCACTACTACCAGAAAAAGGGGGAAAATGGAATAAAATGAACCGCAACCAGAGCGAAACCCAATCAATTAAATTAACTTCATTTTATGGAGAAGGCAGGAAACGCATGCATTCAGATCAAATCAACTGCTCACTAAAATACTACACAGTAATTATCTGGCACAACTAATCTGTATCTCACAACCACCAAATCACAAGGCCCTCAGCTCCATCGCTCAGCCATGCTCCTAATTCACTGACTGTTGTACTTTGTTCCTTTTTCACAAAGCCTCTATGCTCCAGCACAGGGTTCAGTTCAGTATAAACACTCCAGTAGATCAAACATCTCACAGATGGCACTAAAAACAGGCAATTCTTATTATTTATTTATTGTTTGTTATCATCGATGCTTGGTAATGGCTCTTGTGTGGCTGGGGCAATAGGAAAATATCCACTTTATTTTGTGCTGTAAACAAGGTTTTGATTGCTAAATTAACCTGCTTTGTCTTTTTTCTGCTGGTGTAACCAAATAGAATGATTTTCTTTCTTCATAATGTGATTACGACGCCTACATGACAGAAAACCGCCACTCCAGACTGTAATAACTGGCTATCTCCACATGAGGGCCACAGTTGCCATAAAAGGCAGCAAAGGAAAAAGGGAGGAGGTGAGGCGGCCGGTTGCAGATCGGACCCGGCCATTGTTTCTGTTCCACTTGGACCCGTTTCTTTCTCTAGCTCGAGGAGGCTTTGCAGGGTTGGAGGCAGGGTTACGTGGGGATTTGTTATGGGGTGGTGAGTAAGGCCCATAGCCTGGCCAATCATCACTGTACCTTTCACCATGATCTCCACCACGTGAACCGCTACCCTCCTCACCTGGAATATGCAAAAAAGAGATTTCTGGCTCAGTGGAATGGAAATAAAAAGTTTCATACAAATTTAGTGGACACGTTCTACCAATGGTGCCACAAATCCTTAAGATCAATTACCTAATACTCCTTTTATGATATATACAAATGCACTTACTGTCCATGAAGTCCAGGTCCTGCCCACTCTGAGCATGTCTCAGTTTATTGGTCACCACTCTCAGCTCCATGATCAACTGTCTCGTCCTCACATCTGGCCTGGCAATGTCCACCTCAACCTCTGGGTTATTGATCTGGCTGACCAGCCCGTCACCTATCACATCTGGGAGATACCTAAGTGTGTGCACACAGAGACATTCATGTAGACAACTTGTCAATGCTTCACGCAGTGTGGCTTTAAATGGCAGGGGGGAGGTGCAACTCAGAAGCAAAATGAATGTGTCACATCACCACAAATGGGTGTAGTATATTTGGGGAATACTCATCTTCACTGCAATATTTGACTGTTGTCATAAGGGGAAGCAACTCACTCTGCCATTTAATTGTGGGGATGTAGGCAGGTAGTATGTAGTTACAATAGTTGTGTATCTCTGAGCCTGAACCTCATCGTGGTACCGTGCCATCATCCATGATCCAGCAGCAAAAATAGCCTATGAAATCAGGCTGGTGTCGTTTAGACTGTGATTCATGCCAAGTCCCATTGTCCAGTCATCCACAATTCTCCCTTGTTTACAGTTAATAACTTATTTCATATGTCACAATCCATAATTCCTCCTTACCACAACTTAAGTTAAACTTATCAGGTTAAATCAGTTCAAACTGTTCCATATCTCAGTCATTTTCATTATTTGATCTGTTATATATCATTGTTTGCCATTTGAACTGCATCAGTATTAATTTTGTTGTTTGCTTATTTAGATTAATAAATTGCATAAAAATCCGTTCTGCTCTCCTCGGTCCTTTCTGTTGTGAAGCGATAAAGTTCCTGTATTGAGAACCCATTCTTCAGACCTGAGATCAAACATTTAAGAATAATAAACCGGTCATAATAAATACATCAAATTCTAGTCAGTCCACCGTATTATTTGATACTAAATTAAACTTAAGGCAGATTTGCTACAATCTTAGTTAGGTACATGATGGTCTTTTTTGCCCTCAGGAGGACCTGTAGTTAATTTGGTTATGTTGGTTTTGTGCCACTGTTACCATAAAAATCTTAATTTGTCCAGTACTTTGTTTTATGAATACCAAATACTTGTGCTAAAGTACAGCTAGCATGGCTGAAGATTCTTGTAGACTCTTGTTTTTACATCAGTGACCTTTTTGCTTAGCAGACGGGGGTTGTTGTCTAGAGTGCAGCCTGTAGTTTAAGCAGAAACATTGTGGTCAATAAGTTGTATGACATCTACAGAATAAGCTGCATCATAAAATACATACGGGACAGTCCCAAAGGTTAACTATAGTAGTAAAACATTTTATACCAGCATGTGTCTGGCTGCAGTCCCACTTTATGATTAAAGCTGTTAAGGTCTGTGTACGTTTACATAAAATTGCTCTTTAATGCAGCTGGAATATCACCGAGAAAAAAATCATTAATGCAGACTTGTTTTCCCTGTGTATCTCTCCCACAACACACTCACACACAGGACCACACAGCTTCTCTGAATTATCCTGGATACACGGTGTTAGGCTGTATTTATGTGCATGTACTGAGAGAGCATGTGGGTGACTGGTGGTAGCTAAATTAAATGAACTCGGTTCCATCTGTTGCATAACTCCACCTCTGCACCATCACTCACTCGCTCCTCCTCAACCTCTACCGAACCCCTTCCTGCACCCTCCACCCCCTAGGCTTTGATCTCGCTCACCTCCCCCGGGTCTGTCCATTCCAGCAGCGGTCCTCATTAGTGACGTCGGCAGCCATCTTCTCATCGCTGCAGATGGTGTGTGGGAGGGACACCCAGAAGCCCCGCATGGGCCGCAGTCGCTCCTTCAGCTCGGTAACCTGTACGGAGGTGGAAAGAAATTGTTTATGAGTCAGACCTGGTTTTAAAGCATCCTTATTATGGCTGGCAGCAGAAAGCATATGGAAGCTGCAGTGGTGATGCTGGGCAAAGCAGAAAAACTGACATGACACAGCTTCTGGGTCACTTCTTAAACCTCATGTCTTATACTTTATAAATAGATATGAATACCCACTTTCATTTGTCTCTCTCCTCTGCCCTTGGTTTCATTTATTTTTCCAACACTTCTATCTTGTAAGGCCACACCACCATGCTCACAGGGATATTGTTTGGGTTCTGACAGCTGCACTATTATTAGTTGCTTTTAGTTGCTTTCTGCTCAGTTGCTGTGTCTAAATCCTGGCACATGGACAAAGCAAACTGTTTTAACACACTTACTTGCAGTTTCAACATGTATTTCCACCAGGAGTTGGTGGAGACCAGGACTGAGCTCAAAAAAAGGGAACACTGAAGTGCATTTGTCATCGGGCCAGAGACAGGACATCAAATGAATGCTAACATACAGTAGCTCTGTACCTGCTGGATGTCTCAATAGTCAACATTCTGCTAACAGGTTTGCCACAACAACACAAAGTGATGTTAATTTAATGTCGTATTTACATTTTATTCTGCTGCCCTCAGCCACAACAACAGAAAGTGATGTTAATTTAATGTTGTATTTACATTTTATTCTGCTGCCCTCAAGTGGCCAAACAATAAAAAAAATCTATCATCTTTAAGTTGCAAAAAAAAAAAAAGTAGATTAAGAATAGCTACTACACCCAGTTTAGCCAAGGTACTGTATGTTTCTTCCTCACCAGTCGGTCCAGGTTGGTGCCTGCAGCAGTGGTGGGCTTCTCTTCAGGACTGTAGGTGCGGAAGGGCTTCCTGCTGCCCCCTGAGTCTTTTGGTGAGCGTTTGGACCGTCCTGGAACTGGCCTGGGGTTTCCACAGCCCTGGAACACCTGAGATAAACATCAACAAGATTCTGTGCTGTTTTTAAGGTAACCCTTAATGTAAGTGTAGCAAAACCAAGCTGAGAGACTTCCCAAATCATAACAATAGCAAAAAAAGTGTCTGCACCCAACAATGTTGCAATTAAACTAAAAATATACCATTATGGAAACAGTTTTTTACAAGCTCCACAACCTTGCACTGTTAGTAAAAAGCAGAAAACATGCAAATCTGAGCTGTTGGGGAGAGATCTGCCTGTTCATTAAAGTGCTTCTCTGTTTCTAACGAGATGTGGGTGTCTGTCTGGCAGATTAGCTCCCATGATATCTGCCCTGTTTGACTGCTTGTTGTCTCATCAAGAACATTAAAATTAAACACTATAATATGACTATAGCTTTTACTTGTAAGTGATTTTTATGATAATGGTGGATGATATTTATGCATGCACAAAGTTTGATTATATAGCACACATTATACTGCTTTTCTTGAAGAACGGCCAGACTGAATCCAGTGGAAGCAAAACAATATATCTATACAATGTCATTTAACTTTTTATTTTTCCACCATCTGCTTCTGCTCTCTTTCTGACCTTAGTGGAGATGGTGACACTGTTCTCCTGCATGTGCATGATGGCCTCTGACACTTTCACAGAGAGAGAGTCGGCTGCAAGCTCTATGTTGAACGGCCCCTCTAACTTCTCTGAAACCTGGTACAGAGCATCTGATAGAGGACAGAAGAAGAAACACAAAGAGAGATGGTAGGTGATGAAGTTTGGCATGACTCCATTTAGTTCTCATTGTCTGGCAAAACATTCTAAAACCAGACGGCATTCAGAGAGCACAAGCCTCGACCAAGGCAGCTCACTGTACCCATAATGCCGTTCCACCTAAAATCATTATTCCCAGGAGTGTTTGACCTTCTTACCTCGTTCTTGGCGAAGGTAAAAACTCTCAAAAACTCTCGCTGGTGGTCTGTTGGGGGCCCAGATAAATATCAAGACAATAATTCCCTGTCTCTCACTGTCTAACCAGCTAAAAGGTTTGAGGTTACATGACTGTATAATTATAGGAAGCAAACCATCAACATAGAAAGAAAAGTGGGACAAAGAGAGAAATAGTGGTTGTAAAAAACGTGAGGGTGCATTTGGTTTGGGCGCAGCAGACATGGTGATGTGATGAAAGATAAGAGGAAACGCTGCACATGAAAAAGAAAGTGCAGGGAATGTATGAGTTTGATGAAAGGCGAAGGAAACACAGGAAGACATCAATTGTGAAGGAGCAGAGAAGCATGAATGATTAATGGACGGGTAATTCATTAGAGCAAAGGGAAGTGGAAAGTAAATGAGTAACAGAGGAGAAATAAAAGGATTTTACTTCCAGGTATGCTATCTTTAATAATAATATTAATTCAAAATGCTGTTAAATGTTATTTGGGCCGTGACCTTTTTTCCCTTTAGGATCTAAGGTAATTGAAAACGAAGGTACTGTGGCTCCTTCATTCATTCAATCTTTATTTATACAGGGTAATCCAATTAGAGCTATTTCACTCTTATTTGCATGGATGCCCTGTTTACACGAGATAAAACACAATTTCACAAGCAACACAAACAGCTTCATCTGAAATACAAAATCTAACAAGTCTAAAAATTATAAAGTGCATCAGGCACGTGCTCTAAACCCAACTAACCAACTACATAGCATTATGCATTGTTCATCCTACCCTTACCCACCAATGAAATTGTTCCATTCAGTCTCCAGGTCGGCCTGATTGGCTAAGCAGCCCTTCATCACATTAAGGCACAGGGAGTGACAGGGCCGCAGGAAGGCCATGCCTCGACAAAGCGGGCAATACCACTGACGCATCAGGCCACGCACGCACTCGGAGTCTGCAGTCAACTGAGAAACAAAGTATTGAGAGTTATGACATGTGCATATTCACTGCAAGCCTTTGTTTTGTTACACTCAAGGTTTTATTTGACATTTTAGATACTGATAATTTCATCTGAGCAAACAGGGTTAATTTTCACCTTTGTACCTTTGTTTTGAGAATGGCTATATAAATGAAAATTAGGGAAAATCTTCTCCACTGCAACATCTTTTTTTAAATCAGGTTGATTCAGATTGAATGGTACAAACATTTAATTTACCGAAAAACTATATATAGGACTGAAGAGAGTATTCAAGATGAGTATGACATATGTAAATATAATGCAGAGCAGTAAGAGCCACTCACTCACCTTTGTTGCTTTGCTAACAATATCCCGACCAGTAGCTAAGCCCTGAGATAGCGCTCTGGCCGCAATGAACGCCCTGGACACCTGAATATGAAACCCAGGACAATAGAATAGGATCAGTGACAACTCAACATGTCATTCTTCATGACAGTTGTCTGAAAGCGTCCATATCAACTGTGTAGTATTTTATCACAGAACACACACTTGTACGCGAAGTTTGCGGGGCACATCCCCAAATGGCTGCAGCTGTTCAGCGTGTTTGCTGACACACTCCAGGTAGTCCTCACTGAACTGGTACTGAGGGTTGACCAGAGAGAAGACACGCTCCACCAGCCTGGACCAGAAATCTGAGAGAACCTCTGTCAGACTTATAGTGGCTCCTGCGGATAGAAGAGCAACCTTTAGCATCACTAAGGATAAAATATTAGATATAATTGCATGTTTCTGTATTGATTTCTGAAAAGGAAGCAGAACAGCAACACTGGAGGATCTTATTATGTGGCGCTGCAGCAGAGTTAATGTACCACTGATGCAGATAAGGCCGGTTTAAAGGGTTAGTTCACCCCGAACTAAAAATCTGTTGTTTTCAACTAAAACACAACTGATGCTCGTAAAACCACAAAACACACAGTGAGGTAGCCCCTGTATTTCCATCGCAGTGTTAAGCATGGTAAATTGCTTAAAAATCAAACATACAACATCCACTAAATTTCTCCAGACTGTTTAAATATTAATGCTCAGTTTGTGTGTGCTGTTTCCACTCACTGTTTTCTGTCTGACAGCTGGGGGGGGTGCATTCAATTTCAATACCTGTGTTGTGTTAGAGGTCTTTTTTTTTCCTTGGCTACTCACACTACACCAGCTGTTTAGAGAAATTGTAGTGCTTTTGATATTTCCCAAAATTTGTCTTGATGCTGTGGAGAAACATCCCTTTAAAGCTGAACAGTCTGGAGAAATTGTAAGATGTAGTTAACCACAGCCTATGAACTGTTCCTACACATCTCGTCCAACCCAGATAATAGAGCAACGCCACTAAATGAAAGCCAAAAGCAAACAACACAAAAGTGTGTTTCTGCTTCTTTGATTTCTGTGTAGTCTCTTAAACACAACGCAGTAACATGTTAATAACATAGAATAATATGTTATGTGCACCGTGCAATTTTTTCCTCATTTTCTTTAAATGTGCTTTGGTGCTTGTCTGATTCTGTACACTAGTCAACTGGCAAGGACATTCTGCATATGCAATTCTCCAATCCGTAGTCTACTATACAGCCTCATATTAGCCATACATGGTGTTTGGCAGAGAAAGACAGGTTGACTAAGCAGCAACAACCTGCAGATAGACTCGCCAGTGAGCGGCATTCAGGCCAAAACGGAGGTATCTGCAACAGAAATAGAAACAGTCTGGCATCTGTGGGATTCCATCTCTCCCTCGATTTTTCTCCAGTTCTTCTTGGCAGTTCACTTCAACTCAAAAGACAATACTGCCTCTTTACAGCTTTCTATAACTGCTGTGGATTATCCATACCAGTGACATGGACTGAACAGCCAGAGCAATAGGGAACCATCACTGCTCTGTCCCTAACCAGACCACCAGATAGAGGCCCATGTAGTGCAAAAAAACCAAAAAACAAAGCCAGGTTGATTGTTTGAATAAACGTCTCCATTTTGGTTGTTTGCATTGAATTTAAATTTCATAAAATTTAATATAGAAGAGGTTTATTGCATCGTGCTAATTCTGATAGTGTCTGATCATAGTCACTTTGAAATTTATTGGTTGACATTTTCCCTTAATTTGACAAATCAGATTAGAGACTGAAAGGAAATACGCAAAGTTTTAAAAAACAAAGTCCCCATCTGGAATCTGGGGGAAATCCTAATTTCATTGTATAACACAGAACATCTGACCCAGCTGGTATCATTTTGCCTTAGACCATCGGAACACATACAATAGTTGCATACATTAGTTTGCCAGGAGGTGGACAATGTGATTAAACAAACCAGAATAATATCTGCGAAGCTCCACAAACAGCTCCTGGAAGACGTGCACATTCTGAGTGAAGAGCCGCCCATAGGTCTTAGTAAACATCTGGTTCATCGACTTCTCTGACAGCTCTATTAGCTCTCTGAAGAACTCTGCAGTGACACAGAAAAAGCAGATTAGATATAAATCTGTCACCCACCCTTTTTCCTTCTAATATCTTAGCCAGGTTTCTACGTAGGTGTTCAGTCACCCCCTCCTTCCCAGATTAACATCTCCTAGATATCAGTTCCTGCACACTGGAAAATGAGTGTAATAACATGTACTTTATTTAAAATCCATCTTTAAGACTCAGATGCAGTCTCCCACTCCTTCCACGTCTTTAAGTGATTCATCACATACATTATATAAAAGGATGAGGAGGGAAAAAAAGGTGATAGCAGTGCACAGCAGGTGGGAGGAAGTGTAAATACAGCTCTGTGCAGCACCTGCTACAAACCTGCAGCCTCACATACAGAATCTGAGACAACGTGGGCTAAATTCTCCTGACTACAGTCATTAACATGGTCTACATAGGTTTTCTTACCATGACCATTTGTTTAAAGGTGCAGTCCACCAATATTACACATTAAGGTCATGGATGATCCTACTGGGTCTGTGACAGCTGTTTAAAAATCTCTTCTATAATTCTGGAAAAGGCTTTTAATGTCTAAATTCATTTTAACGATGCTTCATTTAGTCTCAATAGATTTTATTCTGGTTTTTAGTGCTTACCGTTTTTGCTTTATTTGCCAATGTAAAGCACTTTGAATTATGCTATATAAATAAAGTCACTTTGCCTTGCTTAAAAAGGCAGAAAGGGTTTGATTAAAGACACTACTGAATTACATTATGGAAAATGTAGGATCCAGTGTTTCTGGAGTTTAACCCATAGAAAAGACAAAAAGTCAGGATAACTTGCGATCTGTGTTTTTAGAATCTGTGCCTTGTGAGTCCTCCAACTAACTGAAACCGCAATAATAAAATCACTGGAGTATCCTTTTAATATTAGCAGTTCTCATGTATTTGTTTAAACATAAATCATGCTATAAGAACCATGCTAGGATCTCTGCAATATACAGGCATTGTTGTGCTTTTAGATTCCAATTCTGTGGCACAGACATCTGACCATTTGGGAGGACCTGTGCAGTTGGAGATCCTAATAAGATGTCACTCATCGCTGCTAAATCGGTAGCTTGGGGAATGTGAAACAAGAACAAGCTGAGTGCAGTTTGTGTTCCCTTTTTCCTGCCAATGTACTAAATGTGGAATCAAGAAAATACTTTGTAATGTTTTAACTTTTCAAACCAGATAGTTTTCCTATTTAGCATTCTTAATAACTGTACAAGCCTCTGAGTCATCCTCTCACCATCAAATCTGCGATGTCTCTGGGTGAAAGTTGTCAAAAGAAACTGGCTGTTGTCTTCGACGGCTTTGAGGAAGTCCCTCTCACTCTGGAGGGACAGCGTCTCCTCCATCTGACTTGAGCAGCAGGTGTAGTCCTGAGGACAGAGCCGCAGGTGCTCACCTGGAAGGTAAAACCAGGCCAGAAGAGAAAGAACATTTAGGTCTGATCACATGTTCAGACGCTTATGTGGATAAATGAGATTACAGTGTAATGGTTTGGTTTCAAATCTGCATAGATATTCTGTTATTGTGAAGCATGTTGGGTTGCATTTCTACATTAAAGCTGCAAGCCTATATAAATAAAGTTACTAATAAAAAAAAACAACCTATTTTCAATAACATCACTAGGTCTTATCAGGTCAAAGCAGATTGAGATAAGAGTCAGTACCTCCACTTATCACTCTGTTCAGTGACTGTGGGGAAATCTTATTAAACATATGGGAGAGAAAATCTTAATTTATCTGCATGAATTATCCACCTTTAATATGTCTTTCTTTTTCAGCTCAGGTTGGGCTTTGTCAGAGCTAATGATATGCAAACGACAACCAGGAGGAGGAAAAAACCCATAGCACTGAAAATGTGGTAAAGGTTTGGATTCTTTGTTTCTATTATTTTATATCTAACATGAACATTGCTGCTGTTATTGCAGTCCAGTGTCTCATTCCCCACTCCACCCTCTCCGATGTTCCTCTCTGCCTCTTTTGTTCTCTCTGTGTGTCTCACCATTAGCCCTCTCTCATCCCTCTATTTCCATTTCTAAACTGCCTCTCCTCATCCTTCACTCTCCTGGCCATCTGCTCCCCTGGCCCACGGGACAGTGAGCCAAGACTCAGGCAGTGATAGCCCAACACACACACAAAATAAATCAATATTGCAGTTGTCTCCTTGACTCGCGCACAGAGACGAGTTACCATAAAATAATACTCCACATCTGCAGACATACCCTATATTTTATTCACTTTTAATGGTGAAAGATTCAGGACTGACTGTGGGTAACACACACCATCCTTCTCTCACTGATTTACATGCAAAGCTTGATCTCTGAGAAGTAAGCTTCAGACACTCAAGTGCTCCATCATTTTCTCCCGCACATGGCCAGACGAATTTTCACAAATTTGAACTCTACTCCCTTCTCTCTTCCTCTTCTCTATCGCTCCTCCCTAAAATTTCAAATTATCAACTGTTTGTATAATCCACATGATATATTTTCATTCAGCAGATAAGATTATCACCAGTGAACAGAGCCTGTGGGTATATGCGTGGATTTAACCATGGGCGAGGAGGCAAAGACTAATTAGGGGTGAGGTTCTTTGTTTCACTGGTGTTGGCAATTTGCTCATCCCCTTAATCATCCTATTTAAAAAGCACAGAGGGGAGGAGGGGGCGGGTGTAATTTCTTTTAAACCATCCTGCATTGTTTCTCTTGAGGGAAAACTCCCCATGATAATCCTACATTGTGTCTCTGGTGCTTAGTGAGTTATGAGCCACAGTGTACTTTTTTCTCTCACTTTCCTATTGTGCTTTGTATTGTGCCTATTGTATTTAAAGGTTTTTTTTCTGCTAGAATTTTATGTTCCAGTTTTTTTTTTTTTATCCCTGATGAGAAGAACTAGAGCATCCTGACGCACCTACATCTCTGCTGCGACATATCAGAAGCTATGAGTCTTAAATTTTGTCTTGACATGTCTTTAAAATGAGACTACTGTGCACAAGTCCAAAAAAAAACCACAGGTTAGATGCAGAGTCTTACCAGAGATCTGGACCAGCGGAGCAGTGCCAGTGCTGTACCCCTTCTCCGCGTACACCTGTCGGGTGTCGGCGCAGCTCCTCCCCGCAGCAGCCACTGTGCTGCGATGGGGCAGCGGCCGCGTAGAGGAGCACCAGCAGCGTGTACCTGGGAAGAGATAGCCGGGTGTCCATCCTCGGTGCAGGACTCAAAACCTGATATCAGTGGAGGAAGTGTTTCTATAAAAACGGACTATGGGCGCAGCGGTTTGTGGATGAATGAATAACTGGCCGGTTTAAATGTACGCAAAAGTAAAAAGAGTAACAAGATTCCAAATGGTCAGCCGTTTAAAACAGTCATAGTTTTCCCCGGTAAGTGCAATGAACAGATCCCAGATCCGCACTGGGTTTTTCTATCACACATATGTTTCCATGTCCGTGTCCAGTTAATGTGTCCTTCCTGGGAAATCCGCTGTTGTACGTAAATGTAAGGGGAGTGTGGACGGTACACCCCCGTCCCTCAGCGTTATCGAACAAACTGCATCAAGCGCAAAAGAAGAGCTACCGGAAGTTTGTTTTCAAAATAAAAGCAAAGCCAGTATCAGTTAATTGTATACAAGTTTTTAAACAAAGTAACTGTGTTAATGCTTTTGTTATCACTGTGAGCAGTACCAGATCAGTATCATCAAAGAGCATTTTAGCCCAAAAACTATAGTGCCACTGGTTGTGAACAGGATCATGTAATTGGTAAATCTGTGTGGTGGTGTTCACTGTTTAAATCTGCTGCACACAACTTTAAAAGAGACAGAAGCGTTTCCTTAAATTAAAAAGTGACATAAAACAAGTTAATTGGAGCCATATGATGTTTTAGTAATAAGTCATGTCTGCACAGAAAGAAAGTTTCTTGTTAGTTTGACAGTGATGCTGCTTTAACACTGAACACTTTGTTTTCAGGTGAAATTTTATATTGCAGTTTGCATAATTATTATACAGGAAAAAAAAGAGATAATTATTTAAAAATGACCTTGAGGACTAATCCCAACTGAGGGCTTAGTGTGACCATGTGCAAGAATGGGTTATTGAACAGGGCTACTGGGCACAAGCACAGACAGGATGTATGGACTTGATAGCCTAAAGCCTTGGTTAGAAAAACAGTCAAATTGCTACAAAGACACAAAATAACCACAAAGATACTCAAAACTACCAAAAAAACATGCTAGCCTATATGTACAGAGGTATGTAAAACTATTACAGAGACACAAAAAACAACTAGAAAGAGTTTGCTAGTCATTAGTAATTTGTGTTTCTGAAGTCTGGGTGGCTTATTTTTTTTATAGGAAGGGTGGGGGGTCTTTTATTCATGTCCCAGCATATTTTTACTCTCACAATATTGTAAAGCCAGAAAAATAAGTATTTTATTTTGAAAGATCAGACCAGAAGTTATCTGTTTCATGCTGTTTGGTTTGACTCTGCTCATATAGTCTGTCAAACACTGAACAATAGACCATGCAGAAGAAGAGCAGAAGGATAGATTGAGGTGAGATGTCTACAGTGGGGAGCAGCTTAGCCACCCCCTCAGGGTCTTAACACTGGACAAACAGACACAGAACCATGGATATATAATTACTTTTAATAATGTGTCCATGCACAGAATAAACAGACTGATCAGTCAGTCATACACTGACAGAATACAATATATGACCGTGAATATAGAATCTAACAAAGTTTATAATAGTAAGTCAAGCAAATGTACTGCAAGGATGCAAATATTTTGAAGATGCAGTCATATATTCAGCAACAATTGACTTCATATCCCTGCTGCACCTGTTTACCTACATGTTACAAAGCAGAACTACTGAATAGCCATTTGTTAGAAATGACCAATGGTAATGAAGTGACGTTCCGAAGGACCAATCATCTTCTGATCTGAGGAAGCGCTGGCCAATCGGAATCCAAATTTAATTTGCCTTCGTTGCGCGCCCTCTCGTCTCATGAAGAGAGTGAAAATTAGCAAAATCCTCAGAGATAGAAATATATTCGCTACTAACTACGGTATCAAATGGTAAAATTATGTGATTAATTTACGTAGGGTTGTTACTTAAAAGCTATAATGTGGGATTCGTTTGCTAATAGATCCATTTTGCAAGATAAGATTTCGTTTTGTTTTGTGATACACCTGTAGGTTAGCCTTGTAGGTTAGCCTTGTAGGTTACTGTTGATCGGCAAACTTAAAAGGCAGCTTGAATTAATAGACTTCAAGTCTATTAATGAGTATTATAACCGTAAATGAGGATGCAAAAAGCTAGCCTACACTAGGGTTTACCTGACGTTAAGATGTTAGCCAAGTCTGGTCTTGTAATTAGCTGAACGAGTTTATTTCCGTCTTCCCCACAAACAGTAACTTGGCTCTCCACAGAAAGGCCGTTAGCATAGACCATCTAACCAGCAATTCAAGATCATCTCAACATCTCTGAACTTCAGCCAAAATGTCAAGTGGAGACTCGCTTTCGGACAGGTAACCTAGCCAGCCATGGGTAAAGTTGACGTTTAACTTGGCCATTGAGTATTTGTATGGAGCCTGGTATTTATTTATCCCGTGTACATATTTCATTTAAAGTTGTTAGTAGTACAAGTGAAAACAACAGGAACACCATTCTCAAGTTCAATAAAGAGCACAAAGTTCAGTTTCACAGCCAATATTTGAATGATCTCCTCACATCTCAATGAAAAATCAAAATAAAACTTTAAGCAACCCATTCAGAGTGTCTATGATTCTGGACCGTTGCTCTGTATAAGTAGCATATTTGAACACAAAGCAACCAAAACTAGCCATCAAAGAGTCAAGAAGGAGTGCTGCAACAATATCTAGTGTATGGTAAAGTAGTTTGAAGGTTGCCAGGACAAACTGACTAGATGCAATAATAATATTCTGAGTGCACCTCCCTAACAAACTGATAACCTGAGGGCTATGAATAAGTAACTTGTGTGCCCACATTATTATTCTGAGTGTGAATAAGTAACTTGTGTGCCCACATTATCATGACTTTTACCATAAAGTGTCTGCCACTGTAGTTTTGTTAGGCTTGATTCAGTTTTCTTTTTCTTGTTTGTTAGTGTTGAGGAGCTGGATGACTTCTCAGACTTTGACAGTGACTATGGGACCACGATAAAAGCCACAAAGCGGAGAAAACAGGCAGTGCCCGGACCTCAGGTAAATTAGCTTGTTTCCTTTCAAAATAGTTCGTGCTCATTTAGATGCTAAATTTTTGGTGATTTTCATGTAGATTTTTCACACTAGTGGAAAGAGGGTGTGATTTTGTCTAGTTATCTTGTCTTATGTTTTTTATGGCATTGAAACAATCTTAACTGTTCATCATCCCATTGATATAAAAGATCAAAATAGCATAATTGGAATCATAGCGACTGCAGTAAATATTTGATTCAAGCCATTCATATCTTACCACAG